TTTATCCCCGTTATTAATGACTCGGCCGGTGTCCTGGTCCGTTACAGCAATCAGTTGGGGGCGAATTACTCTGGCGCTATTGCTCTCCCCTCCCCCTCTCTCCCCCCAACTCTCCTCCGCTCCTCCCGAAGCACGTCCTTCCCACTTCCAGGTTATGAAAACCGTTGACTCATGAGGAAGAAGAGCCAAGGAGAGAGAGCCCCTTCGCCATCATTTCTTGCCGCTCGGGAGAAATGGAGGCGAAAGGCCGATGGACAGGTTCCCTGCTCCTAGGTGGGTTCGAAGAGTCATCGGTATCGAAGTTGCATCTAGACGCCCGCCTCCTCCCCCCACCTTTTCCCTTTCCTCCCTTATTCATTCCGTTACCCTTTTCTCCGCCGCAACCCCCTCCTCCCCCATACCAGTGATTTGCAGAAGGAAGTAGAGTGCAGCGCGGCCTTGTCAATCCACCCCCCATGCATACAACCACCACCCGCCATACGCCCGCCGTCCCAGCCCCAGCCCCTCCTCTCTCTCTATCAATCAATCAATCAGCATCAATCAATCAATCCGACGGGCAACGAACCGTCACACAAGAACGACTTCCCTGCGGGAACTGCTCCAGCCCTGCGGGAGAGAGAGAGGCACCTGCATGATGACGGCGATGACGATGCGGCTGTCGTCGTTCAGCAAGAGTAATAATCAAAGAAAGATGCGAATGAAAAAAGTTTGAAAAGACCTTATTCCAGCCTTGATTCCCAATGACCTGAATTAGAAATCCTCGCCTCCTGCACAGAAACCTGCTGAGGTAATTAACCGGATGGAGAGCACCTTGGGGTCGCTCTCCCCGCTCTCCTTCTGCCTCCCCCCCCCCCCCCTATTCTCTCGCTCTCCCGACCCCCTAGGTCTCTCACACTCTCTCGGCGTTATTTGCAGCCCCCTCCCCGAGTTGGTCCCACGCCGGCTGGCCGACAAAATAGAGGAAATAATTTTGGAAGGCGCCCGGCTGGGAGCAAAGGCGGCGGTGGCGGCGAGGGCTCCAGGCTCCGCGGCACCACCCGGCGCCCCACCCCGCCACGCCCGGAGCGTCCCGGAGGTGACGCGCTCATTTCTAGGCCCCGGAGGTTAAGCGGCGCCAGGCCAGGCGCGACGTCAGGTGGGTCGGGTGACCCCGCGCCACTTAACCGTCTGAAGGGCGGCGGCGGCGCCGCGCAGCGACCCTCTGCAGGGCGGCAAAGCGCTTTGGGCGCGCCAACCCTTTGGGCAACATGGCGCCGCACCGCCGCTCGCTGCAGGATGCGAGGCGGGCCCGAATTTACGCGGAATTCTCCTCGTGCCGCCCTTTTGCTCTTTCTCTCTCTCTCTTTATCTCGCCCATCTGTTCTGCCACCTTCTCCCTCTTTTTACTCTTTCACCCCCTCTCCCTTCCCCTCGCCTCATCTCACACTTTTATGCGTACCTGAGCCGTAAATCCGCCGCCGTGGTGTTGGTGGCAGCCGCAGGCCGCACAGCAGCAGCGGCAGCAGCAGCGTCGCGACGCCCGCCCGAGCGACACCCACCGACGCTCTTTATATTCCCTTTCCCCACCGCCGCCGGCCCAGACCGTAAAATAACAGAATTAGCCGACGGCGTCGTGCCGGGTAGGCGTGCGGGTAGGTAAACCGCTTGCACCGTAAGGGCCGCGAATTATCCCCACGCGGTCCTCGGGACACGTCGGCAACGTGGCGCCGGCAGAGGCAACGCGCTCGCTTTTAATCTTTTTTTCTTCTTCTTTTCCCTCTCCATTCCGTGACGACGACGACGTCCCAGCAAGTATAATTTGATTTGGCGCTGATCCGCCGCCGGCGCTCCCACTTTTGAAACGTTTCTTTTGTGACGGCGAATGACACGCTATTTTAGACGACCTTTCTCCTCTCTCCGGTTTGCCCCCCTCTCAATCCCCTTTCCATGACTCGCTCTCTCTCTCTCTTTCTCGAAGCTCGGCCAGCCGCTCCGACCGAAGCCGGGCAGGAATTTTATTCTTACCGCGTTCGCCAGGGGCAGCAGCAGCAGCGACGAACCCCCTCCTCGGGCTGCTGCGCGGACCTCTCAGGCGGTGTGATTGACTTTTCATTTTGCGAGGAGTGTGTCCTTGTGACGACTCCCTCTCCTTTGCCCCCGCGCGTCCCGTTCCTCCTTGGCCACCCCCCTCCCCCGCTCCGTTCCCTCAGAATTATTCCAATAACGTCCGATGAAAGGCGCTGCTCGTCGGCTCGCCTTCTCCGCGCTTGATAAATTATTAGTGGCCGTTATTAGGAGTTAGTAGGCTCTGCCGCCGCGGGGCTGAGCCGAGCCGAGCCGGAGCCGAGCCGGAGCCGAGCCGGAGCCGAGCCGGAGCCTTGCGGCGATACCTCCGCGTCATTGCTCCCCGCGGTGCAGCCAGCGGCGGGGAGTAGCGCCTCCTCGGCTAATCGCCTCATTACTTTTGTAGAAGCCTCCATCTCCGCCCTGCTGCTGCTGCTCTTCCTCTGGTGTATATAGTGCAGCAGCGCGGTGCCGCCGTCGCCGCCGAGGTGTTCCGCCACGCCAGACCCATTTCGGGCGTGAAAGTTTTAGTCCAGGGCTGACAGACGGGCGGCGGCGGCGGGCGGCGTCGGGTGGACGGGCCGACACACCGGGCGGGGCCGGCGGGGTCGGGGCGCTCACCTCGCCTCTCTAATGTAGCAGCCAGCAGCATCCTCTTCCCTCCCTCCTCCTCCCTCCTCCTCCTGCTCGCGCCCCCGCCGCTGCTGCTGCTGCTGATGCGGCCTTTACTACGCACCGTGGGGACTTTTCATTAGAGTTTGCGGTAAGAGTTGGCGCGTACAAAGGGGTGCGGTAATCACCCCCGCCATTCCACCCCACTCCACCCCCGCCGCGCCGCCCGCCAGCCTCGCACCTCTCGCAGGGCGCCCCGCACCTGACCCGCCCCGCCCCGCTCGGCCACGGCCCCAGCCAAAGCGCGTTACAAACTCCGGGCTGCCAGAACTGCTGCCGCCGCCGACCCGCGCTGCGCCTGGGCCTGACCCAACTCGGCCCCGACCCCTCTTGTACCCACAAACCCACCACCTCTGTCGTGGCGGGGCGAGGCGTGCGGTGCAGCCAGAGACCGGTATTTTGCCGTCGGCGGCGAGGCCACCGGGGCTGCCGAGTGCCTCCCTCCGCCACCACCCCGTCGTCGCGTCCGAGCCGCGCGGGGCCGTCACGCGCGGCCCGACCAGTGGGACCGACCCGACCCGCGACCGCGAGCAGCTAGTGTGTTTCTTGGGGAGGAGGGCGGAGAAGGAGGAAGAAGGGGAATTGAAAAAGTTTTGCAGATCACACTGGAAATATTACGATTGCATTTCGGGAGAGAAAGTTTTCCGCTCGCGTTGTGGGCCCGACCGCCGCGCACGAGAGGACGCGGTCGGACGCGGTGCCCGCTGTGCACGGGGTGGCGGCGGCGAGGCCCCGCGCGGGTAGGCAGTCCCGCGGTGCACGCGCGCCAGCGGGTGGCCTACCCGGAGTTCGTCAGGCGCCGTGGCCCGGCCGGGGCCGGGACCGCGTGGTTGTCGCCGGGTTGCGCGGTGGTGGAGAGGGGGGACGCGTGGTCGTACTACTGCAGGTGGGGCTCCCGGTGGGCCGGGGCCGGGCAGGGGGCGGAGCCGGGGTCGAGGGAGGCAAGTTACGCCCTTCGCAGTCCTGCACGCTCATCGCGTATGAATTATTAGTGGTGTCAACGGCCTTACTGAGCTTGCTCGATTTAAGCCCCCCACCCGGCCCCGGCACAGCGTGGTGCGCGCCCCGAGCAGCACTCTGTTCTCTCCGACCACATCAAGGGCCGCGCCACCACGCCCCGCCCGGCCTCGGCCCGCCGCCGCAGCAGCAGCAGCGGGGGCCCTGCAGAGAGGTCCTTGCGAGGACCCCAAAGGAAGGCGCGGGGGCGGGGCAGGGCGGGCGCAAAGGGCCATCACCTAAATGTATTCAACGTTTTCGAACTGCTCGCGCACTCCGTAGCCCCGGGAGCAGCGGTGTCAGCCTCTTTCACGCCCAACAAGTGCGAGAGAGGAAAAGTGTACTGCGGGGACAGGAGGAGGGAGGAGAAGGAAGTGTTTCGGGGGCAGGAGAGAAAGAGAGAGAGAGAGTACGAGAGAGAAAGGACGACGCGCGAGCGATACATCAAAATCGACAGCGTTTAGGCGCCCGGGTCCCGGGTCCCGCTCTAGGGCTGCGCGGCGGGCTTCTCCGGGATAAGGCGAGCGCGCGCGCGAGCGGGGGGGCTGGCGGGGCGCGGCTCTTAATACTTTCCTCGTCAAGTTTGTCGCCACTTTATCTCACTCTTTTCCCACTATATTCCGCTGTTGTTGCGCGGTTTAAATCACGTTGTCAACAAGTGCGTGCGCGGCGAGGCCAGCGGCGGCCACGCCCCGCCGCGCCGCCCCGAGCAGTGCGAGCAGCAGCAGTGGCAGCAGCAGCAGAGAGCCGATATAAATTGCCGTGTCGTAGATTGCAGAAAGATTGCATCCCGCGCCACGCCTCGCCGCGTCGCACCGCCGGCTGCCCGACCTTCCGCCCGGCGTCTGCAATCTGGCAGAAGTGTAATAATGTACCCGTCTGGGCGGGGGGTTTATTCATTTCACCTCCGAGTACACTTCATAAACCGACTGTCGCGCGCGCTTATTTCGGGGCCGCAGTTTTAAAGGAGACGGGAGTGTCTGAAAATATATGCGATCTCGCCTGGCTGGCAGCGAGCAGCGGCGTGTTGTTGGAAAAGCACCTAGCTAATGGTACCTCTGATTTAACGGAAATTCCGTTAGGGGACTAACGGAAATTTCTTTCAACTTCCTTAATTTCCTTAATTCAAGTCAAAATTCTGTGGGTCCCCTATTTCCCCCCAGTAGCGGAATTTCTGTTGTTTCAATGGTACCTTTTTCTGTGGGTTCTTTGGGTAGAGTTAGGTGGAGGCGCTATTAAGGTGTTGTGTTTTAATCAAGTTTTTTTTTTTTGTCTGTCTGTTTCTGCAGGTGGTGCGGCCGGATGTCTTTAGACGTCGTGACGACGACATGACGCTGCTGGACGCCATGGCCGCCAAGGTGGTCGCGCTCGTGCTGGGCGCGGCTGCGCTGCTCGCAGCCCCCGCCGCCTCCACCGTGGAGCAGCTGTCACCGGGTAAGTTGATGGAAGCCAAGAGTACACACCACCACCAACACCACCGGTTCGGCGAAAACGAATCAAACGCCCTGTTTGCGGGGAGAAAACCACCTGAACCACCCCGATTGACGCCGCAGCGCGCGCCACTGGCACCACTAGAGACCCGGGCGAGGATAACGAGAGCTGCTGAGGGAAATACGGGGCGAAATTCTCTCATCATCACGTCGCATTTTATTATTTCGGGGCCCCATTCTGCGCGGGAGCATGTCTCTCTTGATGGCGAGCACAGTAGCAGCGGCAAGCAGCTTGTGTTTGGCTCAGGCGGATCAGGGCCGCGCACGGCGCACGGCACGGCGGAGCGCGGAGGCCCTCGGCTCCCTTTTCTAATTACAGCGAGAATACCTCGCGAGTTCTCCCGCCGCTTGCAAGCGTTGTGCCGC